GGGTCCCAAGTGGCCCTGCGACTTGGGGCGGTCCCCCTGCTTTCACCTTCCCTCGTGGGCGCTGGACTTGTGGGTCCCCAGCCCATTCTTTTGCCCAATTGTGGCTCCAGCCAAATGACGCCCATCCCCCTCACAGATCCGCCTCACCTTTTCCGTAATCGCTTCACCTTTTCTTGTAGAGATTTAACAATGATACCTTCAATCCTCTCCCTCTGGCTCCCAAACCCTGTGTCCCTCTCCGAGTGTGTGTGTGTGTGTGTGTGTGTGTGTGTGTGTGTGTGTGTGTGTATCCGTCTGGCCCTCATCTTCATTACTCTCCATCTCCTGCCTCTACTTCTCCACACCTCCTCCTACCGCTCCCGGTCTGGTCCCTGGTCTCCGTGGTCTCTCCCTCCCTCCCTCTGTGGATCCCTGCCCTTTCTCTCTCTCTCTCCCTCCCTCCCTATCTGTCTCCCTTCCTCTGGGGGTTGCTGAGTAACCCCTGGGCCAAGATAGTGCTTATTTGCAGGAGGCAGGACTGGCCTGGCTAGAGTGGGGTTGAGTAGAGGATGGGGGCCCACAGAAGGGATTTCCTCTGACATTTCTCAGAGCCTGTCTCTGTGTTTACCTCCCCACTGCAGAGGCCTAAAGCAGATGCTCCCGTTTATCCAGGAGTTCCCTCAACCTCAACCCCAAACTTTTCCTAGCCTAGAACACACCTGCTAATTTCCTCCCCACTCCCAGGCCATTCCTACCTACAATGAACTTTGCCTTTTCTAACCAGCTGAGGGAGGAAGCAATTGATAATAACAACAATAATAATATCACATTAGCTTAGGGGTTGTCTCTGGAAGCTGTCTGCTTGAGTTTGAATCCCCATTCTGCAGCTTCCTAGCTATGTGACTTTGGGGCAAATTACTTGATCTCTTTGTGCCTCTGTTTCACTACCTAGAGAATGGGTATAATAATAGTATCTTCCTCATGGGATTGTTGTGACGTTTAAATGCTTTGAATAGCAGCTGGCAAATAGTGAGCTCTTTAACACACACATTAGGGTGACTATTGTGTGCAGACTCTGTGCCATGTGCTTCATCTGCCTCATCTCACTTCACACTCTCCTCCTGCAGCCATCCTTGTGTCACAGGTGAGAATCTGGCACAGGAACTGACTTGCTCAGAGTTACACCAGCACTTCAGTTAGGAGACCCTGGGGTGGAAGGCAGGGAGCTTGATGTGGTTGCCATTTTCCAAAGAAGAGCAGGAAACTGAGGCTCCAAGAAGGGATGGGACTTGCCAAGGTCACAGAGCTCAAGGCAGCAGAGGCACGGTCTGCTCCAAATGCCCTTGACCCTACACTGCCATGGAACTTGCATTTGAGGCTCCAAGTACTGGGAAGATCTGAGCAAACAAAGCAGACACCTTTGGTGCCAGCCTGTATTGAGTGGGCACTTGACCGATGATGGAAGAGAAGGGTTTTAGAGAGGAGGAAACGAACCCAGAGAGAGCAAGCCACTCATCCAAGGTCAGGGTCGGACTCCAACCCAGGCGGTCAGCTCTGGAGCCCATGCTCTTCACACTTGGGGTGCATCAGCTCCCCTGCCACTGCCACACCCCTGACATCCCCCTTCTCCACTCCTTCTGCCTAGAAATCTATAAGAAATTCAAGCACAACTCACACAGCATATATATGTTCTTCAACACGTCGGATCTCCGGGAAGCAGTGCCTGAACCCCACTTGCTCTTCCGGGCCGAGCTGCGCCTGCAGAGGCACAAGTTGAAAGTGGGGCAACACGTGGAGCTGTACCAGGTGGGGGCATGGGCCAGGTGGGCCACTGGGCCATGGGTGACTGCAAGGGCCACACAGACAGACCCTGAAAGACAGAAGAGCACAGGCCGTGGAATCATAGGGCTCTTTAAAATGTCAGACTCCTAGCACCCTAGAATGTTAGCCACTTAGAAGGCTGGAATCTTAGCAATTGGATTCTAGGATGCAGGTATCTTGAAAGTTGAAATCTGTAGAACAGTTCAGGGTTCTGGACCTGCTCTGATCCATAGGGAAGCCACTAGTTACATATGGCCATTTAAGTTTTTAACAATTAAAAGCAAAAATTCAGCCCTGAATGGTTTGGCTCAGTGGATAGAGCGTTGGCCTGTGGACTCAAGGGTCCCAGGTTTGATTCCGGTCAAGGGCATGTACCTTGGTTGCGGGCACATCCCCAGTAGGAGGTGTGCAGGAGGCAGCTGATTGATGTTTCTCTCTCATCGATGTTTCTAACTCTCTATCCTTCTCCCTTCCTCTCTGTAAAAAATCAATAAAATATATTTTTTAAAAAATTCAATTCCTCAGTCCCACTGGCCATATTTCAAGCAGCCATAGTCACATGTGGTTAGCAGCTATTTGGACACCACAGATAAAGAATATTTCTGTTGTCATGGAGGGGTCTCTTGGATAGCTCTGTTCTAGAAAATTTGGAATCTTCAGGAAGATTGGGGCCTCTGTAAGAGGTGGGGTCTCTAGAAGGTCAAGTGGCCTAGAATCCATGTCATATGGAACTTTAGACGTGATGGTAGATGGTAGAGGGAACTTTGTCTCATGTTAACTTCTTGGCATCTAGAGACCCCAACTTTACGCTGCCACTCCTGGAGCATTCTGTCCAGAACCAGGGATCATTCCACAGGAGAGCAGTGTCTGCAGTCTAGGTTTATGGCGTGTCAAACTCCTGGACTTGTGGAACATTAGTCTCTTAGATCAACGGTTCTCAACCTGTGGGTCGCGACCCCTTTGGCGGTCGAACGACCCTTTCACAGGGGTCGCCTAAGACCATCCTGCATATCAGATATTTACATTACGATTCATAACAGTAGCAACATTACAGTTATGAAGTAGCAACGAAAATAATTTTATGGTTGGGTCACAACATGAGGAACTGTATTTAAAGAGCCAGAAGGTTGAGAACCACTGTCTTAGAACTTCTTGGGCTCATTGACTGTCATTCTTGGGATGCTGTCAAACCCTGGAGTTATAGAATGACTTCTAACATAAGCCTCTAGAAAGTGATAGACTCAGAATGCAGGGTGTCAAATGTGCGGAAATGTATGCTGAGTGAAGCCCAGGATGTCTGCAGGGAAATCTGCGCAGTGGGCTGTCCAAGCTCAAAGGGGCCTGACATTTCACCAGCAAGGAAACTGAAGCCGAGAGAGAGAAAAGAATTTCCTTGGCTCCAAAGAGGATCAGGGCCCGAGGCTGAGCAGCTCAGGTGCCGTGACCCCCAGGCTGGAGCTCGCTGTGGCACAGGTGGTTCCTGTGGGCCCCCAGGGCATGGATGTCTGGGAGGGGACTGTCCATGGGACTGTCTGAAGGCCCATTTAGAGGAGCAGATGGGTGGGGGTGCAGGCAGTGGACGTGGAGGTGCATGGCAGCATCTACCCACCATCTCTGTCTTTCTATTCGTCATCCCCCAGAAATACAGCAACAATTCCTGGCGCTACCTCAGCAACCAGGTGCTGGATTCCGGCGACACGCCTGAGTGGCTGTCCTTTGAGGTCACTACAGTTGTGCGGCAGTGGCTGAACTACAAAGGTGAGGACCACTTGTTTGCCCCACCCTGTTTTGCAATGGGGTCGACCCCATTGTCCTGCAACTACTCTGCCTAGCACCCCCGCCCCCCTGGCCCTATGTTGGTGCCAAAGAGCCGGGACCTGGCCCTCCTCCCAGACACTCAAACCTGAGTGATTAATGGCTTGATCCATTTCCTGAGCTCCGGACCTGTGCTGGGTGATTCTGGGGACACAGTAGTGACAAAAACAACTCCATCCTTGCCCTCACAGAGCTCATGATCCATTGTTGGGGTCGGGGAAGAGGATGAAAGACCTGTAAATCAAGTAGTAATGACCCAGAGTGGGCAGGCTTGGAATGGGGAGCCCAGAGGAGGTGGCTGCACAGTCTGGGATCAAGGAGGGCTTCCTGGACAGCAGAGCCAATGTCTGGGGGACGAGTGGAACCAGCCCAGGAAAGAAGGAGGGCAAGACTGTTGGAGGCAGAGGGACAGGATATGCAAAGGCCTTTATTCCGGGGAGAGCCTGGCACATCCAATCTGTCGAGAAGAAGATGGCCTCTGTCCTGTCCCAGCTGAGCCCACAGTGTCCACATCTCCCTTCCTAATATCCCTCTTACTCATGCTTCCATTCAGTAAATGCTAGTAGGTGCCTGCTCTGTGCCTGGCCCTGGGTGGTGGTGCAAGGGAGACGGTGGTAACCAAGCAGACTTCTAGGCGCTGTCCTCACCATTACTTCCAGGCACCTAGGAAGTCTTGCCAAAGCCCTAGCAGGCAGTGATGACTAGAATGATCAGGGCCAGAAGAGGGGAGCCCAGAGCAGATAAGCAAACCCATCTGGAGGAGGTGGTCCAGGAGGGCTTCCCGAGGTTAAGGGTGAATGTGTTGAGACTCAAGGCATAAATGGTGGTTTGGCCAGATGAAAAGATGGGGGTTAGGGAGCATGTGGGCATTGGGAGGAGTGTCTGGGGCCACTGGACAAAGGCCTATCTTGGTCATTATTTGAGCCCAGAGCACCCAGTACAGGGTCCAGCACATAATAGGAGCTTAGAAAATCCACTCATTCATTCAAGAAGCCTTTCTCCCAGCCCTGCCTTTTCCCACATGGGGCAGGTCACCTCCTCTCTGTGTGCCTGAGCATCCTCTTCTGGAAAATGGGTGGCTGTGGTGAGGGTTAAAGGAGATAATGCCCACAGAGTGTTCAGAACATGCCTGGCACGCAGTGTGCCCTCCTGCACTCAGTAGAAGTTTGTTTTTATCATTGTGGGCCAGGCCCTGCAGGGAACAAGAAAGCAAGGATCCCTGCCCCCATGCATCCTGCTCTCCACTGAGAACAATGAGGGAAATAAATAGCCAAATACAAAGGACCCAGAGGGTCAGGGCTATGGAGAAAGTAAAGTGGTGTCATCCTGGGAGTGGGGCCTGCATCCCGCAGGGCCTCTTGGAGGAGGTGACATTTGAACTGAGACCTGAAGGTGGAGGGAGAGGCAGCAAGGCAGAGAGCTGCAGCAACAGGGTCAAGAGGCTGCAGTGAGAGGGCAGCTGGGTTTGAGCCTTCCTGCCTTCTCCCCCAGGGGCTGGGTGAGCCACACCCTCACACTGGCTCCCCTCTCCTCACTCTCACAGGCGAAATCCAGGGCTTTCGCCTCAGTGCCCATTGCTCCTGTGACAGCAAAGATGACACACTCCATGTGGAAATCAACGGTGAGGCCCACCCTTCTGTCCTTGTGCCGTGTGCTGTGTGTGTGTGTGTGTGTGTGTGTGTGTGTGTGTCCCCTCCTCTCCCTGCCCATCCCCCACTCACCACCTAAGAGTGTGTGTTTGTCTCCCCACCCCTCACCCCCTGACTCCCAAACTAAAACAGGAATCAGTATGGGCCGCCGGGGTGACCTGGCCACCATTCATGGCATGAACCGGCCCTTCCTGCTTCTCATGGCCACCCCGCTGGAGAGAGCCCAGCACCTGCACAGCCCCCGAAACCGCCGAGCCCTGGACACCAACTACTGCTTCAGGTGAAAACTGAGGCCTTCCAGCCTGGGAGGCCTGACCAGGTGCTGCAGGGTGGGCACCTGGCTGGTACTATACTCGGGCTAGTATCTCCTTCAGCCTGGAAAACTCAGGGGATGAGGTCTGAGTCCTAGATGCAGGGATGTGTGACCTGGGAGTCCTAGAATGTTGAGATCAGGTTGTTTTCTTGCGGGTGTGTGGGAATCAGAGGCTATTAGAATGTTGAACACCAAGAATGTGGGGATTCAGTCTTTGACATTACTGGCAGGTTGAGATCCTAGAGTGTTCGGATTCTAGGATGCTAGAATTCAGTGTTAGTTATTGAAATCTAACAGTGTTGGACGCAAAGTGTGTTGGGATCCTAGAATTTGGGAATTCAGAATTGGAAGGTTGCCCTTGTTGGATTCCTGTTTATTGACAGATTGGCGTCTCTGGTGCTGGCAGATTGCAGTCCTCGAATCTGGGGCTCAGAAGGATAAAATCCTGTTGAAATGTTAGGATTCACGAATGGGATCTGGAGAAAGCCAGAACATGGGCACCCTAGAGTCCTGGGGCTTGGTGCTAGCATGCTGAATTCTATGAAGGCTGGGATCTAGACAGTGGCAGCTTGGCCCTCTTGAGTGGTGATGGGCTCAGAACTTTGGAATGTTGGAATGCGGTATTGAAATATTGGAATTCAAGAATGCCAAGATCCTCGAGAGTTGGAATGTGGAACTCCTAGAAAGTTGGAAATGATGTTGGAGTGTGAGTGTCTTGAGGTGCTGGCGTACTGCAGTCCAAGAAAGTTGAAAACTTGGATTTGTAAAATGTTAAAATTCAGAGTTAGAATGTTGTGAATTTAGAATTATAATATGATCCTGCCCCTCCCTTGCTTAATAAATTAAAATATAGATATATATTTTTAAATATATATTTTTTTATTGATTTCAGAGGGGAAGGGAGAAAGAGAGAGAGAGATAGAAACATCCATGATGAGAGAGAATCCTTGATCAGCTGCCTCCTGCATGCACCCTACTGGGGATCGAGCCTGCAACCCTGACCTCCTGGTTCATAGGTAGACGCTCAACCACTGAGCTACGCCGGCCTGGCCTCTGCTTAATATTTTGATGGTGTCTCTGGGGCTTTGTCATGTGCTAGTCCCCAGCTGGAAAGTCAGCTCTTCTCCCAAGTTCCTTGCAGATCCTACCCTCAGCCCAGCAACTCTGTGAATGAATGAACAGATGAGGTCTTGAGTGCCAAAAGCTAATAACATTACAAAGAAAGGCAGCCAGCCATGTAAGCCTCCATTGAGAGGGACACAATATCACCTAGGAAGTCTTGCAAAAAAAAAAAAAAATTGAACCTGAAGTTGATCAAGATAGTAGATCCAACTTCCAATTTTCTAGAAATATAGGGATAGTGGAGCATGTTAAACACCACCACAGGCATGCACAGTCAGCAACATCTAGATTGTGGGAAAACTTAGTTTCTTCAACACATACAATGCAAGAGTGGGAAATAAAGAATGGTTCTGTAGATTTAAAAAAACAATCTTAAGAGATACATCAACCAAGAGCAATGCGTAAACCTTATTTGGATCTTAATTTGTGCAGACTAAAAAAAAAAATGTTTATGAGACAGTTGGGGAAATGTGAACTCTAACTAGATATCTGATGATATCAAGGAATTAATTTTTCTTATGTGTTATTGTGGTTATGTTTTAAAATAGCCCTGAATTTCTTGGAGATACATATAGAAATATTTATGGGTGGGGTGATATTGGGGAGAGGAAGTGGTAGGGGTAGAGATACAGTGAGGTTGGCCATGACTTGCTAAATGTTGAAGCTGGGTGATGAAGATATGAGGGTTCAATATAATATTCTCTGCTTTTGTGTATGTTTGAGGTTCAAACACCATCTTCTTGTTCTTAGCTCAATCACCATCTCCACTGGGAAGCTTCCCTGACCCTTCCTTCCCCAGCATCCAGCATCCATGTGGGGCCCTGGGTTTCTTTTACTCATCAGGCCCTGTTGGGTCCTAATGGGCTGACTGAATGAGAGAGCTTTGTTGTATAACAGGGCCGGAATGCAGCCAGCCATGTAAGCCTCCATTGAGGCTTGTTAAATTATTTTGATAATTTATGATAATTTGCAAGTATGCCAGAGTACCTAAAGGTGCCTGGCCTGCTAGCCCTCACCTCCCACCCCCAGTTTCTGGTTCAGGAGGTCTGGGGTGGGGCCTGAGATTTTGCATTCCCCAAAAGTTCCTGGTGATACTGCTGCTTATCCTGGGACCTCACATGGAGAATGGCTGAGTTGGGTAATAGAATCACAGACTCTTCAAATCTTAGCCCTCAGAACCCGTCAGATTTGGAACACAAAGTAAAGATTAGTCTGGACAGTGACTCTTCCACTTTTGTGAGTCCAGGACCCCACTGAGAAGCCAGAAGCCAGGCACCTTTTCTCCCAGAAGTATGTGCATACATACACATCTCTGTGCATGTGGTTTGGGGGGCTCAGGACCCTCCCTGAGCCCATACATAGACTTCCTGATACCTCTTCGGCCCTCAGGTTATCAACACTTTATTTGATCCAACATTGCCCCATCTTTGATGGGGAAACAGAGTCCTAACCAGACTGTGGAGGGACCAGCAGAGCTCAGGGGTCTCCGTTCCCTGACTCCCTTCTTAGGGCTCTGTGGCTTGTGGAAAGTACTTGCCCCAGGAGATCCTGTGTCATCGCTCCTTTGCCCTCTGCTCAAGCTGACATGGTTGTACTGGGCAGATGAGGCCACAAGCTCTGGGGTGGCATAGAGTCAGCTGTGAACCTGGCCTCAAGCTCCACCCCCTACATACTATATGTGAGCAGGCAACATCCTTCTCTGAGGCTCAGTCTTTCATCCTTCAAATGGGAATAATAATAAGGCCTGCCTTGCGGGGTTTTGAAGTGAATTGATGAATTCTCTATTGATTACTATTTGAATAGGTAAATACATGCACATGGACCAAACCTAGAAAGGATCTCAGAGACCCTCCAGCTCTAACCCCCAACCTCTCACTGAAGAGGCAGCCACTTTTATTATATTTGTGTCTCCTTCCAAAGAGTATCTGCATGAGACACTTACATATAGCCATATATTAATTTATTTTGTCCAAATTATAGTCTTATATTTGAGGGGAGTGAAGGGACTACATTTTCTTTCCAGATTCTAGAAGTAACACATATCCACTCTTAAGAATTTGGAAAGGATAAAGAATATTGTCCATCATACTAAATATAAATGCCATAGAAATATAAATATAAAAGATATTACTCATTATACCACATACAAAATATCACCATCAACATTTCAATAAATCTCCTTCCAGTTGCTTTATGCCAAACAGAATTTGGATCATATAGTACCTGTAGCTTTGCATAGTGCTTCTTTCACATGTTATAAACATGGAATATAAAGATCTTGTCTGCCCATGAGTCAAGCTTTTTAGCCAAGCTCTCTGTCCATCTCAGCCATGGTCCCAGGGGTCTGCACATTTAGTGCCCAGGTCCTTTCAAACAAACAGAAGCCTGGGCCCCAACTTGGGAGGACTGGCCTTTGGATCTGAACATGGCACAGAGATCATAAATCCAGAATGGTAGTATCTTATACATGACTATTCTCCAATGTGCTTTAAAAAAATTTTTTTTTAAATTTATTTCGGAGAGGAAGGGAAAGGGAAAGAGAGATAGAAACATTAATGATGAGAGAGAATCATTGATCAGCTGCCTCCTGCATGTCCCCTCCTGGAGATCGAGCCCACAACCCGGGCATGTGCCCTTGACTGGAATTGAACCTGGGATCCTTCAGTCTGTAGGCCAACATTCTATACATTGAGCAAAACCAGCCAGGGCTCCAATGTGCTTTTTAAAAACCTAACCCATTGAACAATTAATTTATACATCCAATATTTGCAGAGTACCTACAGTGTGCCAGGCACTGTTGTAGGCACTAGGGATACATTGGGAGAGAAAACAGACAAAAAGTCCTGTCCTCAGAGGAAGGCAGATAATGAACAGATAAATCAATATCAAATAAATAAAAGAGCAGGTAGCTAAAAGTTCTAAGAAGGAAAATAAAGCAGATGAAAGAGACAGAAAGAAAGATATTGGAGAGTATTTTTCCTATCCTGATTTTTATTATGAAAATTTCAAATGTATATAAAAGCAACCAGGATAGTATAATGAACTCTTATTCAGCTTCCACAGGTTTTAAGATTTTGTCCCACTTTGGACACAGACATTTTCAGATTTTCTTGCATACCTGCAATGCTGTAGTTACACTGAATGGAACTGTCTTTTGGATTGGTATTTTGGGTAGGATGGTCCAGGAAGGACTCTCTAAAGAGATGACATTAGCCCTGGCTGGTTTGGCTGAGTGGATAGAGCATTGGCCTGCAGACTGAAGGGTCCCAGGTTCGGTTCCGTTTAAGGTTGTGGGCTCGATCCCCAGTAGGGGGTGTGCAGGAGGCAGCTGATCAGTGATTCTCTCTCATCATTGATGTTTCTATCTCTCCCTCTCCCATCCTCTCTGAAATTAGTTTAAAAAAAAAGAGATGACATTAATTTGTTTAACTATTTATTGAGCACCCACTGCATGCCAGGCAGTGTTCTAGGATTGAGGCTCCCTGAGTGAAGGACATTTAAGCATATAATTAAAGGAAGTAAAGAAATAAGCTGGAGCAGAAATTTGTGTGAGCAGCAAGCCAGGCAGAGACAACAGCAAGTGCAAAGGCCCTGAGGTAGGACCGTTTGAGGAACAGTGAGGACACTAGTATGACTGGAGTAGAGTGAAAATGGAGAGGGAATTGAGATTAGCCAAATCCAGTAGTGCCTTGTGGTTCATGGTGAGGACTTCTGGCATTTGTCCTTAGTGAAGCGGGGCCATGTTCAGAGAAGAGCGACATGACAGTCTCTAGCATTTGGCCCTAGAGGACAGGGGTTTCTGTCTGTTTTGTTTGTACTGAGTCCCTGTAGATCCCAGGGCAGCACACACTAATTCAGTAAACATTTGTTGCACATGTAGAATGTACCAGTACACATGGAGCTGCACTGTTTTATGTTCTAGTGTATGGATGTGCCATGATTTAGCCGTCCGTGTGGATGGCCACTGGCTTCCTACAGGCTTGTTTGAGCACTGCACGAGACCCTGTTTATTATGTTGCTCTTAGCACAGTGCTTGACTGGAGGAAGTGCTTTATCAGTGCTGGCGATCATCAGTATTATAACTGTTGGCTGTTGTTATCACAGTGGGTGCAAGGGAGACCAAGATGGAGATGGTGCAAACACACACACACACACACACACACACACACACACACACACGGGCATGGCTAGCCCTTGCAGGCCCCTCTTGTTGACCTGACCTGGATTCCTCACCCGTGTCCCGCCCGCAGCTCCACGGAGAAAAACTGCTGCGTGCGGCAGCTCTACATCGACTTCCGCAAGGATCTGGGCTGGAAATGGATCCACGAGCCCAAGGGCTACCACGCCAACTTCTGCCTGGGGCCCTGCCCCTACATTTGGAGCCTGGAAACGCAGTACAGCAAGGTGCGTCTGGCCCGGGCTGGCGATAGCAGGGACCAAGGGAGGGGAGGGAGAGAGGTACACGCAGAGATGAAGTGCGGAAAGGAGAAATAGAGACAGAGAGACTGGAGGAGAGGGTGATAAAGAGATGGGAGAGAAGCTGGAGACCGGTCTGCAGTTAGAGACGAGGCATATGGGGAGACCCACGGGACGGAGTAGCTTGGAAGGAGAAAGAGAAAGCGAGAGATGAGACAGAATGAACAAGGCAGGAAGGCACAGGTTGATACACAGAGAAGATGGAAGGAGAAAGAATGACTGAGATACAAATCAAGAGTGGGAAATGTGGAGCGGCAGAGATTGAGCCCTAAGGGTGAGAGGAGGTGTAGGGAGAGGGGAGCAATCTGACCCCTGCCCTGACCCCGCCCATCCGCCCGCAGGTCCTGGCCCTATACAACCAGCACAACCCCGGCGCGTCGGCGGCGCCCTGCTGCGTGCCGCAGGCGCTGGAGCCCCTGCCTATTGTGTACTACGTGGGCCGCAAGCCCAAGGTGGAGCAGCTGTCCAACATGATCGTGCGCTCCTGCAAGTGCAGCTGAGCCCCCTACCCCTCCCGCCCCGCCCCCGGCAGGCCCGGCCCCGCCTCCCCTTCCCCCTGCCCGTTGCGCTGGGCTGTATTTAAGGACACCGCCCCCCTCCCCCCCTTCTCCCGGCCAAGCCCACCTCGGGGCCCATTAAAGGTGGAGAGAGGACTGGGGTCTCGGTGTCGTTGGCTGACAGGGTCTCTACCGATGTTCCTGGACTCCCGCTCCATCTGCCGCCTCCTGTCTCTTCACTTTTCATTTGCCCCTCCTACCACTTACCACGCACTTATGTTCCAGGTACTCCTGGCAAGCACTACATTTATTTATTGAGCACTTTGGGCCTTGTTCTAGGTGCTTATGTTAATCAACTCACTCACTCACCGTAACAAGCTCTGGGGGTTCTCATAACGCCCACTTTAAAGGGGAGGAAACTCAAGACCAGAGAGGTTAAGAGAATCGTTCCTGCCCCCCAGGAACCTACTTTCCCGGGAAGACACAGACCTTGTAAATGGCATGAAGGCAGGAAAGCAGGATGGAGTGTGAGATGGGACAGGGAGGATTTCTTGGAGGAGGTAGCTTTTGGGACCTGAAGGCAGCTTAGGGGAGGAAGAGGGAGAGTGTTCTGGGACGGACAGAAGGCAAGGCCTGGAAGTGAGGATAAACTTGGGGTGAGGGAGGGAGGGACAAGGCCAGCGTGGTTGGAAAGGAGGGCCAAGGGGAAGGGTGTTGGGAGCTGAGTCAGATGGTAACACCCATAGGCCAGAGAGTGATAATCCTCCATGCCAGGTATGAATCTACCAGCTCACTGCATTCTCCCCACAGCGCAGCAGGGCAGGGGTTGGCAAACCACAGCCTGCAGGCAAATTCTGACCTGCTGCCTGTTTCTGTAAATAAAGTTTTATTGGAGCACAGCCATGTCTCTGGCTGTTTTAGTGCTATAAGGGCGAAGTCGAGAAGAAACTGTATGCAAAGTCAAAAGTCTTTGCTATTGGGCTCTTTATAGAAAAATCTTGCCAACTCCTGCAATAGAGACCACCTTACAGATGGGAATATTGTGGCACAGAGAGGTTACTTGTTAGCTCACAAGCAGCAGAGCTGGCACTCAAACCAGGCAGCGGCAGTTAAGGGTCTCTGCACTGGGACTGCTTGCCAGGGCACATCAGCCCTGGGGGAGGTGGGAACCTGTGAGAATCTGTACCTGGGGGGTGATGGGAGCCATGACAAGATTCTGTATAGAGATGGGATATGATTTGACTTCGGTGCTTAGAGATCCCTTTGGCTGATGGTTGAGAGTGGACTGAATGGAGCCATAGGCGACTGCAGGAAGAACAGGGGTTCAGGTGAGAGAGGCTGGTACACTGAGCCGGGTGGGTTCCCTCTGGGCTTTGTTTCTTTCCCTCTGCTGTGGTCTTGCTTGTGAATTCTCCCTTGCTTCCTCTTTCTCCGGCATCTTGGTTTCCTCTCCTCCTCCCAGGTTTCAATTCCCTCATCTGTTTCCTACCCTCCTTCCCAGGTCCCAGGCCCTGAACTACTGCTTTGCCCAGAGGTGCCCAGGGGGAGGGGGAGGTTTGGGCAGCACTAGGTCTGAATGAGTGGGCCTTGGGATCCTACCAGCCCAGCCTAGGTAGCAATGTGGGTATTCCACCTGCCACAGGTCTGGGAGCCACGAGGGCTGAGTAGTGTGGGGGCAGGAGGAGTTCACTATTCAAGGAAATGCAGCCATTGTCACTGGCCTCCTATGAAAGGACACAGTGACATGGAAGTCACTGCGGCCCCTGAGGATGTGGCACACGTGTGCACACACTCATTCACACATACAGGGATTGAAGCATGGACAGTGCCCACAATGAACACACCAGAACTCCTGCAGGACACCTGGCAGCAGGCACAGCCCACATGTGACACCCCATTACATAGCCCAGCCTGGAGCCTCACTGGGACCCAGCACAAGCAGAGATGTCAATAGGGACACAGCAAAACACACCCACACAAATACATCCTGTAGGGTCACAGTCACAACCACCACACGCCAGACACAGATTCAGAGACTGTGCCACCCACCTCACAGAATAAGGAAATGAAACAGGCCACCAGCAGTTTACACAAACATCCTCTATGGATGGGGTCATAGTCACAAACAGGCACACGACCTGACTCGTCACAGTCCCACCCAGACACACACCATACACGGAGATGTGACACGTCACGGTCTCACTGACTGCCAGGTGGTCATGCCCACTCATGACATTTCGCGGCCCCACACACTCAGGCCTGGGGAGTCCCACATGGCCCTGCACAAGGCAGCTGACCCGTCATAGCCAGACACACTGTCACAGCCCGGTCTGGTCCCAGACAGAGCAGTCCCACAAACCCAGACACATCTCCAGGGTCGTGGCCCTCACAAGCCCAGCTCGTGCCTGGGCCTCAGAACAAGTCCTGGCTGCACCCTGGGGATTCACTCACACTCCCAGTGCTGAGCCCTGGCCACGCCCTCTTGACACACCCCGCCCACCTGCCTGCTGCCAGAAAAACTTTCGGGCTCAGCACCTTCTCACCACGTGAGCTCTGCTCCTGCCCCCACCCTCCTCGCTGGGGTGGCCAGGCCCTGTAGGGATAAGGCAGCTCAGGCCCCCAGCTAACCGCATGGGCAGGACCCGGGGTTCAGGGTGTCCTCCCCTCCCCCAAAGCCCAGGCTCAGGGAGGAAAGTTGAAGGGGGGTAGCCTGGGTTCCGGCTGAAGCCCCAGCTTCCTATCCAGCCCCCAGAGGGCAGGAAGCTGGGCTAGGGGAGGCCAGCTCAGGCTTTCCTGCCCCCTCCCCCAGACAGGCCTGGGACTGGGGTCAGTGGGTAACGGAAAGAGAAAGAGACAAACAGCCCATTGCCCCCTAAATCGCTGGCATTCCAAGCGTTGGTCTCTTGTGTTTCTAATGTGAATTTGAATGTTCAGGACCTTTGTGTGTCTGTGTGTCCCCAGGTTTTGTGGTGTGAGTTTTATGTGTCTAGCATAGGGGTCTTAACCTACCAGCTGGGTGCCCACAGGCTGTGTGGGGATTTTCAGTGTGTGTATTCCCAGCACGCGTTAAGCTCCGTGTGCGGGTGGCTGCTGGGTTCCTGGTGTGTGTGGTTGCTGTACAAGTCGGTGTGCTCTCTGGGCCGTGTCCTGACACGTGTGATTGGGAGGTCTCTGTTACAATAGGTCATATGCCTGGGGCGTGTTATGTGTCTGAATTTTTTTCTTAGCATCTTTGCTGTTTCCCTCCAGGTGAGTTTGTGTATCTTCAGTGTAATTTTGACTTGAAATGTGGATATTTTGTGTATGTTTATGGGCCTGGGAGAACGATGTGTTTCCAGAGGTGGTGTGTATTTTGTTTCTCACACATGAGCAGTGTTTTCAATGTGTGTGTGTGACAGTTCCCGTTTCTGGGTTATACTTTGTGACCAGTGTGTGCGCCGCTGGTGTTCTGAGCATGTTTGTGTGTCCGCGGGTGTGTCTCCAGCATGCTTGCTGTCGTTTTCCGGGGTGTGTGTGTGTGTTCGTGCCCATCGTGGGGACTGGTGTTTTCAGCCTCTGTGGGTGTCTGAGCAGGTGGTGTCTGTGTTGTCCCACATGTGGGCTGGTGGCTTCAGTGTGTGAGCAGTTGTGTAGGTTTCTATTTTGCAGCGCCTTTAAGGGCATTTTGAGCTCTCAGTGGGGTGTGTATGTGTGTTCATGTTCACGAGCATTTTGTGCTGCTGTCTCCAGGGGAGGGGGAATTGTGTCCTCAGTGAAGTTGCTGGCATCCTGGGCAACAAGCCCAGTGGCCTCCGGGCTGAGTGGAGGCTGCCTCTGCGGTATGTCCCCTCGCCGGCTGGTGCCACGCTGGCTCGGGGCTGGCTGTGGCGGGCAGGGCAGGGCAGGGGCTGCGGTGGGCACTGGACCTGCGCCCAGCCCTTGGTATAAATATCCCGGCTGCCGGCGGCAGTGTTTACTCTGTCCCAGCCCGGGGGTGGTGGCAGCCCAGCAGGTCCTGGGGGCCAGTGGAGGGGGGGGGGGTGACCAGCCACAGCATAGAC